AGCTATTAATTCCGCATTGAGCCCAGCACCCCAACCCTTAAGTCTGTCAAGATATTCTCTCGAAGATTCAAGTCTGCTAGGCTTAGCATTGAACAATTCAAAAATACGCGTAATTTTGTTCTTTTCAACTTTCTTTTGTATTAAATCTTTCATTTGTTGATATGATAAATTATCAATGTTATCCATGATACTCACAGCCATCTCTTTGTCCAATATTTCGAATAGTTTATATTTTTTTGTAGCTTCATCTACAATATTCATTCTCCGCTAGAAATTTTAGATCCAATGTCTTCAATAATATCTTGATCTCTACATCATTCCTATCCTCCACCATAATGAACAAGAATAAATAATATAGAATAAATTGTGGGCGATTGTATTACTACGGAAGATTGAAGGTTAATAATATATTAATTTTAGAATGTGGAATCCATGAAGATTAGAAATATTAATTATTTAGTTCTTTATTTATAACTAAGATCAAATAAAAACAACAAAAATGCAAGTTATCATAATTATTTAAGTTATATACATCAATTTAATATTAAAAATAAAAATCATTTATATCTTTTCAAAATATCAATTTAATATTAAATATAATATAATATATCGTTTTAAGCCTTAACTTCTACAATACAAAATCCATTAATAAACAATGTTACTTCTATTTAACATTAACCAAGATTTTAATTACAAAATTCATAGGACAAATAAAATGTCAGGTATTTTTTTTTATTGCTGAAATGTTTGTAAATTTGATTTTTGATATTAAATTTTGAATCGAATTTTAATTTTATTATTCTAATTTTAAAAGATTGGAATCCGCATTTCAAATTTACAAAATTTTAAAAGGAAAAAAATTTCATAACGAAAATAGTGGTGCCTCTGCAAATGCTAATTCAAAAGGGAATGAAGAGTGGTTCGATGTGCCTGGTACAAACGGATATTCAAAAAAATGTTGGAACTGAATCGAGCGCTTATCTCATATATCTTAATTAGAAACATTAATTTTTTTGACAATTAGGTAAAAACTAAAAATTAATTTTATTTAACATACATTCGAGAGTAAACTTATGGCTATAAAATGAGCCATAATAGATATACATAGTGCATCTAAGATAAAAGTTATCCCAATTTTAAAAAATCATTTTTTTTTGAAAAATGACCAAGCTGAGCCACTTTGAAGCCCTATATCTCCGGTTCTGATAGAGTTAATAATCTAATATTTTGGATTCGTCAAACAATACTTTATTAACTTAAATACCAAATTTTAACAAAATCTGAGATGGTCGGGTTGTAAAGTGATTGATTTGACATGGAATGACCCTGCTATATTTTTGTGTGCCTTCTAGTATCACAAAGTCTCATACTTCAAAATCCCAACTTATCTTATATCTTACATATGTCACAGATGTTCAATTAAAGACTGTGAAGAATTTTTTTTTTAAAAAAAAGGAATGTCAATCAATATAATATTTTTTTAAATTTCGATAAAAAAAGGATTATTATGTGATTTTTGATGATTTTAGAAAGACCAATTATCCTTTTTTCAAGAATTTTTTATGAAGTTGAAACTCGGTATTCTATTATTGAATAGGAACCCTTAGCGGTTTTTTTTGGATTAACTAAGGGTCGTGAAAAAAATTTGTGATTTATACCGAAACCATTGATTCATTTGTAAAAAAGATAACAAAGAATTAATGTTATCTCCTAGATTACACGTTGTTATTAGTGGGAAGTTTCAATGTTGAAATTAGATATCGTTGAGGCAAAGAAAATTGTTTGCCCGATATTTTATCCAGAATAGGATCAAGTGAAGAAACTATCAACTTTAACAAAAATAAAATAGTAGATAAAGAAAAGGCATTGATTTGATTTTTAACACATATGCTTAATGGTGTTCGTACTAATTGGGAAGATCTTAAATTCAATACTTTAAAAGATAAAGAATTGAATCAAATAAAGTTATTTTTAACCGGAAAGAAACCGTGGAAAAATAATTGTAAAATTTATAAAAAATTGAAGAAGAATTTCCTGTGGTGGATGATTGTATAATGAGAGGCAATATAGCCGTAATTCCTTTTAAATTACATGGTAAAATTATTGATCTATTACATGCCGGACATCGGGGTAGAGATAAAATGAAATCTTGTGCTCGTGAATTTATATGTTGCCTGGTATGGGTGATGATATTGAAAAAATTGCAAGGAAATATATTCAATGTAACACCTGTGCCTCTATGCCTCGTAAAGAAGTAGGGGAAATTAAATCAAATCAACCATGGGAAAGGGTTCACATTCATTTCTTTGTATCTTGATAAAAAATCATACTTTTTGGTGGTAGATTCTTATTCAAAATGGATTGAATATAAAGAAGTTCATGAGTTAACAATCAAAGTTGTTATCAAATTATTACAAAAATTGTAGGCTAAATTTGAGATTCCTAAAACAAATTGAACAGTGATATCTTATGCATTAAATAAATAACAGACAATAGGTCATATTCAAAAGGAAAAGATTATTCCAACGGGTTCAAACAATTATAATATGGATATTCAAAAATCCGATTAAATACAATAATAAGAGCTATGGTTTCTAAAAAATAATCAAAGGAAGTTAAAACAAATAATAATGAAACGACTGAATATCAGAAGGGACGAATCAAAATATAATGTTAACCACGGTTAGTGAATTGGAAGAAGCAGCCATGCTTCAATAAAAAATAAAAATAACAATATGTAGGTTCATTAGGAACTGGATCTAATAATAAATATATGTATATTTTGATTATTTCAACGTATATGTCCTTGGCCCGCTAGGGTGAACTGGACATGTTGTAATTAGTTATAAAAAATAGTAATATTATTTTTATATATATATTATATTAAAATCTCGATCATTTTTATAGTTTGAAAAAAGAAATATTGTTTATAAAAATTACTTTTTATTTTTTTTTTACTTTATTGACTTTTGAAAAAATAAAGCGTATATTAAAGATATTGTGTTTTTTTCTTCCAATTATAAAGAATATATGATTAAAAAAATTTTAAATAAATTTTTTAAAAAGTGTCTATAACCAGTTGCGTCTCTAGATGAGGGGGGAGCGCAGGGGCTCGAGCCCATTGAAAAATTTGAATAGCCCCCCGAAGCAAAAAAAAAAATTTTTAAAGGGAATCTTAACCCCTTGAACTAAAAATAAATTTTGCCCCTGTTAGATTTGCATAAATCATTTGAATATAAATTATATTTTTATATAATTAGTTGGTTTATGAATATGTTATCGACGATTGTAAAATATTAATTTGAATATTCGGTTTAGGAATTTATTTTTTTATGAACTTTATATACTTGTAATTTTTATTATTTTTTATGAATTTTTAATATACTTATAATTTTTTTGCACATTAAAAAATGTATATAAATGGGATAAAATTTTCAAATAAAATAGTTGTCTGGTTTTATAATTTCAAAAAAAACTTAGAGTTGTTGTGCAAAATTCAAGATATAAAATGTGGTTTAGTGAAAAAAGGAGTTGTTCCATTAAGTTTATTAAAGTCTCTCCCACAAGCCTTCGACAAATAGATTACAATTCAAATAAGGAATTGTAGCATTCTGAACGATTTCTTTTATAATTCTATTAAGTAATATATAGATTTAATTATACTATTTAAAAATTAATAGACTGTCTAAATATTTATTAAATGAATACTATTTTTAATATTAGAATAGTTAAATTCATATACATTATATTTTCACTATCAGCTTGCAATCATTTTGTGTTAAAAATAGAATGTCAATATCACTCACTAAATATTAATTTAGCATTAACAGTTGAAGCTTAATTAACTATTATTATTTAAATTATTTGATAACCCTAATTAAATAAATATAATCATTTTTTAATTGAAAACTAAAAAATTTAATATTGTAATTAGCCGAGTTCAAAATGACTAATCAACTGTATATTTATTTTTAAATTTTATTATCATACCTATTCCTAAATATATTTTCAAGGTCCAAATAAGTATAAGAGATTTCTTTATAAAAAGTAAGTAGACATCAATGACACCTGTTCCCCCCCCAGTACGCCAATGCGTTTATATATTATATTTCATTAAAATGAATGATAATCTTTTAGAAATTTAATATCTCACAATAATTTTCTCAATTACTTTTTTAGCTTCCATCATATCATCTAATAGGAAGCTCTAACCACCATATAGTTTTATGATTTGGATTGGTCGTTTATATTCTCTTCTTCAAGAATTGTTGATTTGGGTAACAGTTATATTAGTTTGATATAATCTTTTGTCAATGTAAGTTGCTAAGAATTATATTATTGCATTGTGTGGCTTTTAAAAACTATTATCAATTGAGGCATATGTATGAATTTATTAATCTTTTTTATCACTTGTAATTCTTTAGACGCAAATTTTTTTTATATCAGTAATCGAAAATATTTTATACTGTAATAAATAGATTTTGTATTAAAAAATATTATTTTTAGAAATGTCTTGTATTGTTTCAATTATTTATATGCCAGTTTATTTTGTATGCATAATATAATAAATGACAAAATATAAAATTCATAATAATTGTTCAGAGTTAACATATTTAAAAAAAAGTATAATATATTAATAAAAAAACCCGGCCAAACGCTGGGCAAAAGTGGCCCAAAGGCCCGCTAATTAGGGGGCATGGAGGGCGATGCCAACCATAAAATTTTTTATAGCTGAGCCCCCCCCCCCCGAGATTGTATAGGCTAGCGACGCCCCTGTCTATAACGTGTTTTTTTTATTTTAAAAATGCGTAATTCTTTTACTTATATTATAGACGTCAAATTTTAGAAAAATTTATTTTAAAAATATGTGTAAGTATAAAGGTAGTTTGGTATATCGAATTATTTAACCTGACTCACTAATCTAATCTGGCCATAAGAATGTTAAGTCTGCTACACGTCAGGTGTCATATAAAAATATTTTGTGATAAATTCAATAGATTTTAAGAATTGCTTTTATGAATTAATAAATGTTCTACCACAGAGCTATATTTTACATTCTTTTATTGGGATAAAATATTAATGGCAGATAAAGAAGATGATGAACCAACTATTCCGAGAGCAATTTTAAATAAAATTTTTAAAGAAACGATTCCTTCTGTAAGAGTTGCTAGTGAAACTCGTGAATTAATTTTAAACTGTTGTTCTGATTTTATACGATTCATATCTACTGAAGCATATAAAATATGTAATGAATCTGATAAAAAAACTATTGTGCCTGAGCATATTCTCACAGGTTAAAAATTTATATACACTAGTAAAAATAACTTTTTTTAAATATAAGCAAATTTGGGGTAAACTAAATTTTATAAAAATGTATGAAAAATATATATAATGCTATAAAGCACATTAAAACTTAACTTACTATAAATTTTAATATATATTACTGCCCAGGCCTGAATCTTCCCTATTTACTGATGGGTTATATTAAAATATTGTTATTAATGAGTTCAATTACCTGGGTCTTTCATTCTTATATATGATGGTTATATTAAAATAGTATTTAACTAGTTCCAGTGCTGGCCAGGCTTAGGTCCTCTTTATTTAGATTTAATAGGTTATATTAAAATAGATAGTACCAAACAAACTCCTTTTTTAAAAATATAGTAATTTTTATAAATTAAAATTTTATTTTTTGTTTAAAATTTAGTATGTACTTTTATGCAGTAGCTCATTATGGGAGTGGGGCAAATCCCTAAAAATTTTATGCCTAAAAAAAGTTCTTTATAGTTAAAAATAATTATTTTCAAAAAAAAAATTTGAGCCCTTCAAGTAGTTTTGCTAAATGGCTTGATTTGAGCTGATTTTTAAAATTGGCAAATAAAAAATATTGCTTAAGCATGAGATTTTGCTAATAGATGCCCAAACTGTTGTGCCATTTATGAGATAAAGCTTCAGGCTTGTGTAATATTTTTCTGGATAAAATAATAAGTTAGTCATTTTTAAAAATGAGCCATTTAACAACATTACCCCCATATAAATATTGTATAAATTTTAGAATATAATTTTATTTTTTACTGAAATTTTATGGAATTGAAGAATGAAAAAATTTTGGTAAGAAATAGAAAATAATTCGGTAAATTTAAAAAATTAATATATATTTAAACTTTTTAATAAAATTTTCAAAAATTAATTAATAAAAAGGATGAGGCTGTGTAAAAATGAAAAATTATCAAAAAAAGTAATTTTGTAAACTTTAAAATATTAATAATTTTTCCCACAAAAATCAAATTTTTTTATTTTAATCAAATTTTTATTCAAGAGATTGTGGAAATAATTTAAATTTGGAAGAACATAAAAATAGATAAGAATATTAAAATGTTAAGTTAATGATTTTAGTGATCTGCATCGGGCCTAATTTTTCAAGCCTGGCCCAGCCCAAAATTTTTTTATAATGTTTTTCCCAGCCCGAATTCAAGATTTTTTTAAAAAATTTTGCCGGCCTGGCCCTAATTTATTTAAATATAGAAATTAATTATAATAATTACTCAAAATAAACGATATATGTTATATGGCATCTACTTTCTATAAATAAATCACATATTTTTTATTTTACATTAAAAATTCAACATAAAATTGATAAATTTAGATATATTTTAAAAAAATTTAAAGACCTGGCCTGGCCCGAATTTTCATAAAAAATATTAAGCCCGGTCTGAAGCCCATTTGGGCTGGGTATGGGTTGGGCCTACTTTTGCAGATCTCTAATTAATTTCTCACTATGTTCTGGTTTATATTGGTATTGGTTTTTATTATTATACATACAATTTAAAATTAGAGAATAAAAATCATTATTTTTTATAATAAAAACCCTTGATCATATTTAAAATAAACAATATCAATTTTAAAAGGGTGTGGTAATAAATATTATTTAATAAATCAATTACTTTTAAAACACTGACATAAGTTTCCTGGTTAAAAAGACAGTGGGGTTAATTCCATATTAAATCGACAACTTTTCAGCCCAACCTTTTTAATTTTGATAATTTGCATACTGAGAGAACATAATTATAAAGCATAGAATCTAAAATTTTAGTTTCTAAGCACTAATAGTTTCTGAGATATCAATGGTCAAACTCAAAAGTGCCAAAAATGACTTTTTTTTGAAAAATATTTAAAAATTGGAATAAATATAAAAATAATGATGCTAAAAATAAAAGTTATATGTAATTTTATTAAATATTAAGGAATTTTATAAAATAATAATCTTGTGGTCTTTATTTAAGTTATAAATTTTGAACCTGAAAACTACAGGGTGTTTGGCTTTCCAAATTTTGAATTTAATATTTTATTATTCACTTATATCTATATGTAAAAATATTTTAACATGAGACAGCCATGGGTTTTTAATTTTCATGATTTAAAAAAATTAATGAATATTTTTTCATAAATAGATGGCGCTCCTATATAAAATAACATATTTTTGTTAAAATTATCAGTTTTTTAAATTTTTTTCCATTTTAAATATAAATTATAAGATTCTCCAGCATTAATATTATGAAATGAAATTAGGTAGCTATGTTTATAATAATTTTTTTCTTGTAAAAAATTATTTTAATATTTTTGCAAATATGATAGAAAAATTAAAATTCATGAAAGATTTTACTTATTTTCGGCTTATCATTAAATTAAGTATTTTTGATGCCTTGGTAATTTCGTTTTGCAATAAATGATAAGTACGAAGGAGATCTGGTGTCTCGGCATAAACAAAAGTATTTACTCGACTTTTAGAGTGTAGAAAATTTATTTTCATTTCATCTCTATTTTTGCCAACTTTTTTCACAAATCCTAACCACTAATCGTTTTCTTACATACAGGTCACATATCCTCTAATTTCATCAATTAGCAGATCCTTACATGGATTTACTATATTCTTCACAATAAATAAACTTCTGCGAATTTGAATTATATAGCATTGAGCTTAGTTAACCCGATTAAAAACATTGCGTGAATTTTTTATGTCCCAGATATTGAGATAAATTTACTGCCTTATCTCTTCTGTCTTATGCTCTATGATGGCATAATAAAAATTTATACCTTTTATAGGACTTCAGCCTATTTATGAAATTGTACTGGCATAATTGTTTGATCTGAATAAGGTTTTTGTAAGTTTTCCTTGATAACTAACCTATTCTGGATTATTAATTATTATTTCTGAAATAGCTTTTGTTATTTTCGCTTTCGAATCATTTTTTCAGTAAGTTTTTTTTCCTTAATAGAAGATTCCAATTTCATTTAAAGTAATATTGAATACATATGGATGCTGTGGTGATATTATTTATTTTGCTGTTAGAATTTATATTTTCAGATTTTTTTTGTGATAAACGCCTACGGCATTGATCAAAATATGTCTTCTTATTAAGTTATCCATCTCATTACTTTTGGCAGATTCATTTTATAATGAAAGTGCTTAGATTCTTTAAAAGGATTTGACCATTTATATTTATACATTATAGTTTTATGAAAAAAATATAATTAATATCGAAACATTCGTAAAGTAAAAATTAATTAATAGCGCAGGTATGAAAACTGGCTTTTATCTTTCAACACTTAATTATTATATTTTCCCGCAGATACTGGGATCATTTATCAATAATAAGAAAAAATGTTATTAATGCTAGTAAATCTTATTATTTATGTTTAAAAATGGGAAATTTTTTTAATAATTAATAACAAAAATGCGTTATTTTATTAAAACACCTATGGCTGTTTCAGGTATAAATTTTTTTTACATATAAATATAATATAAGTGAATAATAAAATATTAAATTCAAAAAATTCCTAAAGCGAAACACCTGGAGTTTCAGGTTCAAAATTTACAACCTAAATAAAAACCGCAAGATTATTATTTTATAAAAGACCTTTAATAAAGTTACAAAATAACATATAAGCTTTATTTTTAGCATCATTATTTTTTTAACTTATCCCAATTTTTAAAAATCGTATTTTTCGAAAATTGATATCTCAGAAACTATTAGTACTTGGAGACTAAAATTTTAGATTTGATGCTTTCTAAATGTTCATTCAGTGAATTTTATCAAAATTAATAAGGTCGGACTAGTTATCGATTTGGTATGGAATTAGCCAATAAAAAGACACTTCACAAAAAAATCACAATTTTAAAAAAATTTTAAATGCCTAAAAAATGGCAATTTAAAAAATTTTCCCTGTTTTTATTAATAAAATTTCAAAAATTGGGGTATTTTTGTCAGTGTCTTTTTTTCAGAGTAATTTTGTCCAGGGTATTTATGTCAGTTATTCCAAATATTCATTCAAAAATCAGATGCATAACCAAGGGAGAAGGGGAGAATCTCCCCCCACCCCAACCTCATTGCAAATATACCTGTTCTCACATAAATATAATTCGAATTATTTTGAAAAAAAAACATTTTTATAAAAAAAATAAGTGAAATCTAAATTTTTTCTTATAAAAATATAATATAGTCAAAGGTTTACATTAAGTGGACCGAAAGACCTCCAATATATTTTTTCACAACAGTCCTCATTAGATGTTATAATATAATTACAAATCTCGAAAAAATTTTGACCAGATATAGGATATAGTCCGAAAATCATGCTTTTTTTGTGATAGATTGGACGCGAGATAACTTTCTATAGCAAACTTAATAAAAAATTTATTCTTATTATAAAAATTATTATCTCTTACTTGGTTTTCAATTATACTATCAACCATTACCAATGATTTGCAACCTTACTGATTTTTATATTGGTAATGTCTCTGCTCAAAAGTCCAATTGGTTTCTTCTATTAACCAAGAAGGTCTAGCTTTATTTATTCAACCAAAGCAGTTAATTATTTTTTATAAAGTATGTAGGCTTGATAAAGCCTTCACAGATTTTTAGAATTCGAAATTTAAGGACCTGATTTCATTTTTTAGTACTGTTTGGGGTTTTTTTTGTAAACTCCACCGGATTTTTTATTTTTGATTATTTTCGATATACCCCGGTAATTTTAAAATTTCGTTATTTTAATTTTAAATAATTTTGGCAATATTTTATAAATTGTTTCAAAGTGAAATTGAAACCCTAAATGAGAATTAAACGCTCCTTCATATGATTTTCCTACTGATTAATTGATATAATTAGGATTTATGTTTGAAAAGTAGCTCCAATCCGGGTTTTAATTTAAAAAAATATTTTTAGGCCCGGGGACTGGATCTGTTTTGAAAAAAACTAATGATTCTACTCATATACTTAGGGCAGGGCTTTATCCTGGCTGACTTCCAAGTCTGATAAAAAGGACACATATGGTTACATAAAACAACAAAAAATTAGGCCAAAACAACCTCCAAATAAAATTTATTTAGTTTGCAGGTTTAACATACGTAGAATGTTGCCCTAATCAGTATTTGAATTAAAAGGAATGGAATAGTAAACATTAGACAAGTCATAATTAGGCCTCGTATTAAATGTCTTCAAGTCCAAGCAAACAAAACAATGTTTTTAAGTGGCGGTCTGGTATTCAAGTTAAGGAAAAATTTTGAAGCGTTATATTATAAAGAAAGAAAGATTTTTACATTCTTTTTATTATTAATTTTGTTTACTATTAGCCCTACAAAATTTGGGATTCCACGATTTCGTTCCAGACGCTAACATCGTATTGAACGACTGCAAGGACCGAATGGCAAAACGTAAGCGGAAAAGCCATCGACTCGAAAATCTTGGTATCCCGGAAGAAGAATTGCTTAGGCAGCAGGAAGAATTATTCGCTAAAGTTTGTTTTATATAGTTTAATAGCCTATATATAGACTCTATAAATATTCAATTTTTTTTAATACGTTACTTTTATATACTAACATTTTTTGTAAACTCTGGCGTCACTAAAATTTTCTTGTAATTAAAAAAAATGAATTACTTAATCTTCAATTATGACAAGGGGAAGGGAGGAAACGGCAGCCAGGGTAATTGCGCAATTTAATTGGACCTTTGTTTTTTAATCATAATAATTTTCAATAGTTGGGTAGTTTAAAAATAAAAATTATTTCCACCTATAACTTGGATAGTTTAAAGTAAACAAATATTTCTCTTCACCTTTATCTTTCAGAGTAGTATTAACTAGAGATGTGCAAATCACGGCCCGGCCCTTGTCTATTTTTTAAAAATAATTTCGGGCCAGGGCAGGTTTAAATTTATAACTGATATTATATTTTGTCAAATAAATTGATATATATTTTAAAGTTCTTGCAAGAAAATTTCAAAAAATTCTGGCCGGGCCGGACGGAAGAATAATTTTTATTTTCGGGACAATTAGAAAATTTCGTTCGGTATCGGGCCGGGTAGTAATTTTTTAAAAAACAATTCGGGGCGGGCTTGACCGATGCGCATCATTAATAATAATATCTAGGCTTTCTAATTTCGAATAACTTTCATACCCATTTTGTACATTATTTATAAATGGATCGATTCTTATAGTTTATTAATTAACCACAATTAAACTATGTTCAGCTCGAATTGGAAATTCAATCGCTTTTGCAGACCTTCACATTATTTTAATTTAGTTAAACTATGGCGTAGTTTATATTTGACCAACCGTTTCTAAGGAATTTAAGGGAATCGTTGAATTTTAAAATTATAACAATATCTGGACCTTTTTTAAAAAATATAGTAACACTAATCTCTTATCATTTGTAAGTTTCCAGTATTAAAATAATACATACTCTAAAAGTATTTTCTTAGACCATTCCCAACGTATCATAATTTTTAAATATATTTATGCATCTGTATGAATGTGATAAATAATTCATGTCTTATTTATTAATATGTATCAATTTTATTTGAAAAGGCTAGACTCGAACAAGCTACGGTGGAACATAAACAATGGCTACAATTGCAAGAAAACTCTATGCTTCACCTGAATTCTCATTTCGCAAGCTACAAGGATATCATGGGATTGAAAAGTTACGCCGATGAGCCAGATTCGGATTATGATTGAAATGAAGAATACATTCAAACCCAAGATTTCTTCTTTAAAAAATTAAAATAAATAGAATTAACCGAGACAATGCTATTTATCTTCCATCACTATATTAATTAATTCATTGTTAACCTTCTATATTTTTTGAGATGTAATTATTGTTGATTTAAAAATTAAAAAAAATAACTCCTAAAGGCATTTAAACTGAATACATTTTTGCACGCTAAGAGCTTGCGTGAGCGTGATTGAAAATAATTATCTTTATTCATTGTTCATTTTTCCTTTTTTAAAATTATCCCACTCTCCACCAAATGATTCAAGAGATAATTTGTTGAAATTATATATATATAATATCCATTCATATAATTTTGTTAATAATAATATTATTTTTTTGTTATAATATAAATAATAATTTTCATGTTCATATATATTTTTTTAAAACCATTTTATATTTATCTTATATTTTGCAGGGCTTAAACCAATTCAGCCCCTTCAATGATAGGCCTGAGTTACTTAAAGGATATTCATATAAGCCACTTTGACAATATATAAAGCCCTAATTAAAGTAACCTGTGTTTTAAATATTTCTTTTTTTAAGAAAGAGTTTTAAAAAATGCTTTAACAAACAAATATGTTTTTTTTTTGAAACAACCAAAAAAAATTGCACTTGTCAACATTACTGCTTATAAATATTAAACGTCACTTTTATCAGCAATTGATCTATTGTCTTGTTGACATTAATGGCTTCTTAATTGAATAGGAAGTAATTCACATCTCCGCGAATATATCTTATAAACGCAACCGATATAATATATAAAGAATGGTTTAATTTTAATATGTCTATTTTAAAACGATATAAAATATATAATATAAATAAATTTTTTATAATATTATTTTGTTATTAAGGTTATCATCGAATAAATGCTCTCATAAAATTAAATTGCTTATATGTTTATGGATTGCTCTCAGGGCACTGGAGATAATTCGGCCCCTTGAAAAAATTATTTTACTAACGACCTCATTTTTATTAGGGGTTTCGTCTACCATATCCCTTATCTGGCGAGCCTTTAGCGTTTCCTTTCAAAGGTTTATTCTAATTATGTGTTTTTTTTATATTAAAAAAATTTTTTTTATAAAAACGATGGGTTAAAAATTATCTGCAGCTATTTATTTTATTAAAATAGACTAGTATGACATAGATCACATTTTTTTTAGGAAATGCCCATATAAAATCATACTCATTGCGCATAATATAAATCTGGTATATTGCAAAAATGATTTGTATCATACAATTAAATTTTTACATTAATATAAAAGGAAAACCTTTGCATTTATCAGATAAATTTGGCTGACAAGCAGGGATTCAAACCTAACTCGGAAAAGAAAACCCGGTTTTTGAGAAAAAAATTGAGCCCGAACCGAACCTGAACCCCGTTTATAAAATTTAAAACCCCGAACTGAACCCGAGATTTTTTATAAACCAGGGTTGAATGCAGTGTATTGTTTAAAATCAAGATATTTATATAATTGTAAATACAAATATTAATAATTTAATTAAGATTTTATAATATTTTCAATTAAGTGAACTGTTAATAAATTTTAAACAACTTAATTCATTTACGCCATTTTTTAAATTTATTCTCAAAGATTCCTATAGAGTGCTAATAAATTTTAAACAATTAAATTCATTTGCGCCATTTATTTTTAATTTAAACCCTTTTCGCAAAGATTATTAATTAGAGGAAAATGAAAGTCAACAGGTCAAAGGAAAAATTATTATATTGGATATTGTTAATTTAAAAAATTCTCAAAATCTAACTTAAAAATTGTTAAACAAAGATGCAGTGCAGTTTTTGTAAAATCATTTTATAATTTATATATGCTAATAATTATTTTTTGTTCAGATTAATTTTTACCATATATAAATGAAGTGCATATTATAAATGAAATTAAACTTTTAAATCTGTTTCTTAATTCTATGAAATCATTGCCATTTAAATTTTCTTTTATTTGAAAGTATAATAAATGTTCCTCAATTCATCATTTTATTATAAAGATTTAATATCAAAGATAAAATAATTTTGAGAAGCATTTTACTCTTGATACAATAGAAAATAAATCGGTATGCTCATATTGCAAATTAAAAATGTCTGGTAATCATTTGTCAAATTTAGAAAGACATCTGGAGAGAAATCACAACAATGAATATCTAAATTATTTGAATGAAAAAACAAAATATCAGGAAGTGTTATTTGCAAATTCCAAAATAAATCTGTAAATATAAATTTAACATCTAATGATTTTATGAGTTCTATCATAGAACTTGTTAATGTAAATGATCGGCCTCTATCAATTATTGAAGATTCAGGATTTCAAAGAATCATAAACCCAGCTTTATCTGTGCTCATTTTAGTTATCAACTAAAATAATTTATCCCGATCTATTAATTAAACAGCCCAATTCATTAGAGATAAAATATCAAGAGAAGTAGAAGGAAAACTAATAAGTTTAAAAAGTGATGCAGTTCAACGACTAGACAGGTCAATTCTTAATGTAAATATTCGATTTATATTAAAGTTCATTATAATATTAAGAACTCTTGGAATTGTAGAGCTGAAAGAAAGTTTTACATATTCGTAACGATATATATTTTTATTGTAATATACTTTTTCATTTTAGATAATGAAGGTTTAAGGCAATCATGTGATATAAAAACGTTATTTTATATGAGATACATTTTACATAATTGATTTACTTTGGATTTATAAAGAGATCTTATATTATAAAAAACAATCAGTTATTTTTTTACATCATTAAAGTTCTTAATTAATAAAAAACTTTATTCATATTCTAAAATATTATTATCATACTACCGACGACAATACAGACTACTAGCGACTCCATTCTCAGGGCAATATTTTCCCCGCTTGTCAATAGAAAAAAGTACAGGAGAATATATAAAAGGGAATATACTCAAAACTTTTCAAAAATTAATATTGAACAAATATACACAATTATTTCTGACAATGGTGCAAATTTTATCAAAGATATAAAGCTCTTGCAGCCTGAAAGATTATGATATAAGAAGTGAATCAGCAGATGATGAAAATATGGATGTGAATATTTATAAATATGATATCGATGACATACAGAATATTTTTTTATCAACTTTTTTATCCTATCCGATTTTGTACGATGAGCTAGGAGCAATTAAAACATCCCACTTATCAAATGTTATTATGAAACTCCTTAAGCTTGTGTTAGATGGCAACCGATGACATTCAACATAGTGTTGTTCGTTTTGAGCCGATTTTTAAAAACGGCTAACTCAATATATCATTATAATTAGTATTACGCAAGCAGCCTTAAGATTTTGTTTGTAGATGGAACAAAGGTTTGGATAGATATTAGCGAAATCTCGAGGCTTGGGCAATATTTTCGCGCTAAAATATTGAGTTAGCCGTTTTTAAAAATTGGCTCATAACGAGCCGTTTAACAACACTAATTTAACCCATGATATGTTAGAGAAGCTGATTTTACTCAAACCCAATATCGAAGATTTTTTTTCAGAGCAATCTAATTATTTATTGACTGAAGATTGGAAAGAGCTAGTAAAAATAATAGGGGAGTTCGGTTCAGTTAAGTATTTTTGGGTCCGGTTCAGCTCGGGTTTAAGAATTATTGAATTGATAGAGAAAATTATATAATTAAAAAACTTAACATAAATTTGGTATAAAAAATAAATTTTTTATTATATTTATAGGCAAAATATAGTTAAAAATACAAAGCATAGTCATGTATCAATTTTATAGAATGAATTTCAAATGTAAAAAAATCTTTCAAAGCTATTCTATATTAAATATGTTTATGTGAAAATATGAACTTGCGTTGCAGGAACAGCATATAAGATTTTGAATAAAATATATAAATCAGGGTGCTCCAGCTTAGCAGTCCCCAAAAATGCAAAATATTTTCCTTCTTATCTAAATCTTTTAAAATCGCCAAATTTGGAAATTGTAGCTCCAATACTTTTCTTTGAAATCGTTGGCCCTCTTTTAAGTATTTTCTCCTGTATTTCTTTATGTTATAACAATTTTCTAGATCATCTCCTTGTTCATAACTTCATCGTAACTAATATCATCAGATAAAATCGGCTTTATTATGCTTTTATCCTACTCCATAAATTGATAAGATAGTCTTTTTTTTCACAAATCTTATTATCATCACTAAGTAATACCTATAATATTTAAAAATTTATACCGGTTATAATTAAATAAATGATGATTCCATAAAATAACAATTTTAGAATAAATCCAAAAAAATTGCTTTACTAAACTTTTAATTAACCTTGTATCATGGGTCCAGGTATATTGTAGCTTTGAGAATTTCATTCTTTATATACCCTTATTCCAAGAATATATGGTTTTATTTTTTCTAGTTCAATGCAGCATCTTAACCATTCTGCATAAAAATCTGTCTATGTTAACTGTTCAGATTGTAATCGTTTATTTGCGATTTTTAGTGGTTTTAAAATTTCAACAATATTTATTATCTCTTTCCAATCTTCAGTCAATAAACAATTAGATTGCCCTGAAAGGAAATTCTTGAATTGGGTTTGAGTAAAATCAGCCTTTCTAACCTATCATGGTTAAATTGATGTTGTTAAACCAATGATATATAATAATACCTAGACCAATGACATATAATAGTACCAAGACTGACGATTCATTCATTAAAAGTGTACCTCAATGCAAATCAGCTGGGGACGCCATATTGGTTGCCTATACCATTAAAATTTTGATTTGCCTAACTTTGATCGTAAAGTCATTTGATCGTAAATTTGGTCCATTTTTATCTGATTGGTCTATTTAATCGCGGTAAATTAAAATCATTTAAAACATTATGCTTAATATTGTAGCTGATAATTTAAGACTATTGTTAAAAGAAGAAATGAATACCCTAACCTATAAATTCATATGAATGAAAAAATGGTCCATTTTGACCTAAAATGGACCAAATGGACCATTTTACGATCAAAGGAGGCCCTCCCAAAATTTTAAACGAAACTTTATTAAAAAATTGCCTTATCATCTAGATAATAAGGAAGCAAGTTACCATTACCTATATAATAATTCTCTAGAATCATTATTAAAATTTAACAACATTTTTAAGAAGAATAATGTTAATACAGTTGTTTATTTCACATTTTCATCACCACAATATCCAATTTTTTTTATGTTATATCTGACTAAACATCCTTTAATTCCACATCTATAAGCATTAATGGTACCTTCAAATATCCTATCTCACAATTATTTCAAGGCTATTCTTCCAAGGAAATATGTATTTAAAGAACCATATTCAAATAATTTAAAATATTATGAGATTTAGATAGTTATAATAATTTTCATTAAAATATATATTTTTATCATGCTACTAGTAAATCTTATGTATTTTGATTATATAGTATTTAATAAAGATACCTTATTTATCTTATTTGTTTTTCTTAAGAGATAATATAATTGTTTTAAATTTCTATTCAATTCTTAAAATATCTAATAAGCTAGATATATACAACACATTGCTTGAATTTATGTTTATTTGAGACTTTGCTAACCCTTAAATATTTCTAACCTTATAAGGTGATTATTTACATTATATTATCTAGCTTATTTTATCATTCAAAAAAATTATCACTTTTATATTTTTTCAAACACAAAAATTATAGATTAATAAAAATAAAACATTATAAGACTTC